TTTTTGGTCTGTGTTAGTTTTGAAATTTAGACACATTACCTGCATTGTATAATGTCATTTTAAAGACACTGGCAACATTAAGGACAAAGGGATTGATTCTGATGGGAAGATATTTTTTTCCCTCTTTTTTTTTATTAATTTAGTTTGTTTATTATTCATTTCAATGAACATCTACAGAGATTTTGGAATTCCATTCATTCATTGTTGCACCCTTCTCCCCTCACAGCCCCCCCACCCCCACCTGTTTGTTCCTTGCTCCTCTCCTTGAAAAGCAAAAGAAAAACCCCCTCATTGGTACACAATGAAGATCTTAGAGATTAATTAATTCAGTAGGTGGTTGAAAATTGAGTGTAGTTCATTAGTGTGATTCTTTTTATTAGCAGCGTAATTTTTATAATACTTTGCAGTAAATGTAAAACAAATAAATTGTTGTTGTTGTTAAGTGCCATCGAGTCATAGAAGACTCATAGCAACCCTATGAACAAAAGACCTGAACACTTGTATAACTTTCATCATTTCTCTTAAGTTCATAGAGTTTCTGGAGGCAAGCTATTTTAGAATTGGATGCTATTCCTGCCTTCAAGCTTGTTTTAGTCAGGGAGCTCCACCAAACACTGTCCACCATGGGTAACCATTATCGCATTTGACACATCAGTGTCACAGTGTTCAGCATCACAGCAACCACGAGTTACCTCTGTACAGCAAATGGACAGACCAGTGCTATACCACTTAGAAGAATATTTGACCAAAAACAATTAAAACCCGGCCTGAGGGCCACAGATTAAAATCACCCACCTTTAGCTTGGTAGCATAACTTTCTATTCACTAGGCCAACAGAGCTCTTATGTTGTTATTGAAAACAAATAAACTAGAATGTTATTAATCATAAAAATGTTTTAATATACTATTTTAAAAAAGGGAGTTCTGGTGGCCTAGTGGTAAGAAACTTTGCTGCAATTCCAAAAGCACACAGTTCAAATCCACTAGCTGCTCCATGGGAGAAGGATGACCACTCTCCTCCTGTGCAGTTTACTGCCTCTGAAAGTCCACTGGAGGTTTGGCTGCGGGTTGGTTCCAAGTCAGTGGCACACAACAAAATAGGAAAACTACTACTCCACATGATTTACTGACAATAAAAAGAATTCCAACCTTAGTTGACTAATAATTGTCTTAATTTGGATCTTAACTTTTAAAATGAAATTTATTGCATGGTTTTAATTATTTAGTTGGTATTATTGGTATATTCTTTATTAGCACATTTCTAATTGCTTTCAGTGAAATCTGCTTTTGTATTCATGAATTTGTATCTTTTGTTTATTTTCTTGTTTTTCTTAGGTTCTTAAATTGTGTGCTAATCTGATTTTCCATGTAAATAAAAAGAAACAAAAAGCTTAAAGCCAGTTGTCTGCACATTTCAGAAAGGAAAAATAAATGCTTAATTATCTTAAAATAAATTCACTGTTTAAATAATTAAAAAGATAGCTATGTGACAGTCACTTGGCAAGGCAATATTGGTTTTATTCATTGTTTTCATGTGACAAAGTTAAAATTAGTTTGTATTCTCTGAGTACATGTTGCTGACCTATACAGCAGAGAAAAGTCAGACTGAATTTTAAAATATTCCCCAAAGAGATCATTAAACAAATTGTTATGTAATTATATGTAGGTAATTAGTTTATGATATAGCCATGAAATGTTACTTTGATCAAAAAATCTTTTTGAAATAATGTTTTTAATATAAAGTCAATCATATAAACAAAACCAAGAAAGCCATTAAGTTATGCAAAGCAGAACTGCCTGTTTTCATAAACAAAATTCCCCAGTGCATAGTTTTGAACTGGTTTACCTTCTGAGTAGGCTTTTTGAAACCATTGTTCACTCTGCTGTGTTTCTCTGACCTTAAAGGTTCAGTAACACTAGTAATTTTTATGTCCTTCATTTCCCTCCTGGTTCTTTGCATCTTTCACTGCCAATGTAAGCATCTGATGATCATTCCTGGACAGTGGTTAGAAATAAAGCAGAAACTGCCTCTCCAAAGGTTAATGTTTATAAAAAGGTCATCAGAGCTAGAAACCAACAGGGAAGACTCTACCGTTAGGAAGTCCAGAGAGAGCCAGGACCCAGTGACACCTTGAGTTTGAGCTTTTAGCCTATGAGGTCGAGCTTTGTTGTGCTAAGTCACTAAATATCTGATATTTTATTATAGCAGAAACTAATACAGCATTCTAAAAAATGCAAATTAGTTTGAAAAGTCTGAACTTATGGCATTTGATAATTTCAATTTCTGTCCATTATTACCACTTCTGTAATATATTTTAAATATAATTCTGTAATATAAATTTGGAAGCAGGAGTGGCATCCAATTCCTAGAGGACACTCTATGAACTTTGATAAATGTTGATAGCTATAGAGAGGTATTAGGCCTTTTGTTTATAGGGTTGCTATGAGTCATGCTCAATTCAACGGCAATCAACAACAACACACATAAATAATTTTATTTTAGCATAATTGTTCTTGGGCGCTATGGTGACATAGTTTATTCATGTTGTGCAGTCATTGAAAGGTTGGCAGTTCAAATCCACTAGTCTTTCTGAAGTGGAAAGATGGGCAGTCTCTTTTGATAATGATTTCACAGGTTGGAATTAATGCCACTCCATTAGGTTGGGGTTTTGTTTTGGGTTGAGTATGCTAAAAACTGGAGACTAAGGTGCACCCGATACAGGCCATGGTCTTTGCAATCACTTGTTATGCATCAGAGAGCTGGACAATGACCAAGGAGGATAGAAGCAGAATTGACGCCTTTGAGCTGTGGTGCTGGAGAAGAGTATTGAATGTACCATGGACTGCCACGAAAACAAACAGATTCATCCTAGAGAGGGTTAAACCAGGCTACTCCTTGGAGGCAAGGATTCTGGGGCTTCGTCTGACATACTCTGGACATGTTGTAAGGAGAGACAGGTCTTTGGAGAGGGACATCATGCTGGGTAGAGTAGAGGGACAGCGCAGGAGGGGAAAGACCCTCTATGAGGTGGATTGATTCAGTGACTGCGGTAATCGGGATGGGTGTGTCAGAGGCAATGCGATTGGCACAGGATAGAGCAGGGTTTAGGGCTGTTGTACATAGGGTCGCTATGAGTCGCAAATGACTTGACGGCACATAACAACAACCACAAACATGCTAAATCCTACAAGGGAAGCCACGTTGGCATGGCCTTCTAACCACCAGGACTTATCATATTCCTAGTACAATTGGCAATGATGTCATCATGAAAGAGCATGGAAATATAAACTTATCTTTGAAACACATGCTACCAAGTGCTACGTTTTTGGTTCCATGCTAGAAACAAGGAAGAATGCTTTTTATAGGGAACTTCTTTCAATAACCTTTCTAGCATCTCTTTTCTATACTTACTGTTTAGTTTGGCTTATCAGTTGATACTGTAACCTGTATGTTGGAGGGGAGCAGAAATATCACGTGACCACATTATATCCCTCAACTGTGTATCTGGGCTATAAAATCATCATCATATAAAGTTTGACAAACAAAAGGCTACCATATGATCATTTCATAGCTGCTTATTCAGCATAAAAAAATAGCCTCAAATGCTGACAGAGTAATTTCAACACTGTCATGAAGTATAAATTTGAAACAATTGAATTTAAAATGCATTTGTGCCATTTTTCCCTGATGTAAAGCACCGCCAGGGAATTCTGTAAAATGAGTTCATATTAAAAGGTATTTTTAACATAATGTTTTTGGTCTCAGAAATTATTGAAGTCACTATGTGCAATGACAATTCTTCTAAATAATGCTGGAAGCATAATTACTATCAGTTCTGCTGTAAAGAGTAAATAAAGGATTGATTTAAGTTTTTAAAATATTAATACACATCATTTGTGTGTGTGTATGTGTGTTTGTGCATGTGCACACGTTGAAGTCTTGAATACAATACAATTCTATTATGAAACTTCCAGTTGATATTAAAAGATGCCGTGGTGTATTCATTCACTATTTATGAGGTTTTGTATTACTAATGTATCTGGTGTACTTTTAATGTTCAGTGATAATTTCTTTTATTCCTTGCAGTTCTAAACTTTTCACACTTTAAATTCCCACAGTCAAATTCTAAAAACTTAAAGTTATGCATATTTTTAAAAATTTGCTTTTTGAAGAAAAAGAAATAAATTAATGTAGATTCTCTGGTACTAAAAAAGTAGGTTCTTGGAAATTTATGTGATATCAAAGGAATTTCTCTATATGTTTGCATGTGTGTAGGGGTTATTAGTGTTTCCAACTAAGTGATCACAAGCAATTTATAAGACTTCGTGTCCTGGAATATGTCAGATTTTCTTTGCAATTAATGTTTATAGAAATGTATTTATTATTTTATAATTCATGTATTATATAATTTTCCCTTAGAGGGTACTTTAGTTTTTCATTATATTCACAGAGCTATGAAATCATCAGCACAATCTAATTTGACAATTTGTAGTTATATTTTTATTGTTACCCATGGTAATGGGAGTAATACTGGTATTTATTGAGTGCTTGATTTATGTTAAGTTACTTTAAGTTACATTATTTCATTTAACTTTTTAAATGGTGCTGATAGTTAAATACTATTATTCTCTTTTCACCAATGAAGAAATGAAGCCTGAAGCTTAAGTTAATTATCCAGGATTGCATAGCTAATGATTGTAGATACAGATGTTGACATTAAATGGTTTAGATATAAATAACTTGTTTTAATTTTAGCCCACTGAAGCCCGTTCCTTTAAGATATGTACTGTATTAGAAATAGGATTTTCTTTAATTTTCAAATAAGCAAATTTACTTCCTTTTGAAAAAAATAACTTGAAATTTATCTTATTTTGGTTGTTTTCTGGCATTGGGTTATAATGTGGCATTCAGAAAAGTTAAAATGATGATACCTCTCTTGAGCTGAGATAGATATGTTTGTGATTCCAGTACTCAGGACTGTTCTGGTTTTTACTTACAGCTTGTTCATGCAGTGGACATGCGAATGTTTGTCATATGCACACGGGAAAATGTTTCTGCACAACCAAAGGAATAAAAGGGGATCAGTGCCAATTGTAAGTAAAGAGAACTTTTTGGCAATTAGTGAAATGCTTTGTGCTTTAAAAATTATTGTGTGGTGGTGGTGGTGGTGGTGGTGGTGGTGGTGGTTATGTGCCATCGAGCTGACAACTACTCGTAGTGACCCTCAGCACAATAGCTCTGAATCCTGCCCTATCCTGGGCCAGTCTCACTGCCTTTTACACACTGACCCCAGTTTCTCAAATTACTGTGTCAATCCATCTAATTGAGAATCACCCTTTCCTTCACTGTCCCTCCACCCTTTCAAGCATGATGTCTTTCTCTAAGGACGGGTTCCTACTAGCAACATGCCCAAAGTATTGGAGATGGTGCTTCAAAATCCTTGCCACAAAAAAAACCAAACCACAACAAAACACACACAAACAAAACAAAACAAAACAAAACAAAACAAAACAAATGCTTGCCTCCAAGGAGCAAACTGGTTTCACCCTCTCCTTATCAGACCTGACAGACCTGTTTGTTCTCTTGGTGGTCCATACTATGTTCAGAGCTCTCCTCCAGCACCACAACTCCTCAAAGGCACTGCTTCTTCTTCCATCCCCCTTAGTCATTGTCTATTTTCTGATATGTCACATCAATTGTGGTAGTTTTCCTTTTTAAATTTAGTGTTGTGCTATTGTTGTTTGGAACCTTCAAGTTAACTTCAACTCATAGCAACCCTATGTGTTTAAACACATCACCTAAATTTAAAATGTAATAAGTAGATGTAAGTAGGAATATTTTAATAAAGAGTACTTCAAAAGTATAAATAAATACAAGATTAGCAATCGTGTTTTGTAAGTTCAAAGAATGTGAGCTATATAATAGCTCTTCTTTCATTTTCCAATTCTCTCCAAAGTTAAAAAAGAGGTAAAAGCTTAAGATATTAAGAACATTTCTTTCAGGAAAGCCTTTCTGGTCTTGAAATGGAGGAGACCCCAATGTATGTGTTCAATAAATGTATTTAATGGAATAAAATGAAAAAAGTATTGAAGCAATACAGATAAAAGGAATGATTGATTTTTTTTTAGAGGGGTAAGGACTATTTGAAAGGAGAGTAATGAATCTAGTACTTGAAGAATACTCATAATTTTCTGGATAGATGTGGACGTGGAACGATAGGTGGTGCTAGTACTCTCAAAAGAAGGAACACGAATGGGGTCACAGTCTGTCAGGTTTTAGCTTGAGAACATTATGGAGCTGTCGAGTGCAGCCTACCCTCTTCCAATGAAAGAAAACCCAGGACTGCAGAGATTTGGAAACTGCAGAACTGAGATCGCAGAGCAACCGAATGGCCCTTAATTTAAAGAGAGTGAAGAGCCTCCAGAGAGACATGACATGAACAACTGTCTTACTCGGAGGAAAACCAAACTGGAAAATGGTACCAGCACAGTGAGGATGGTTAGTCAATTGATGTGCACTGTCAGTGGTGTGTGCCCTGTGAACAGAGTGTGAATCCCTGGTGACCCCTGAAATGGTGGAGTCAGCTCCCCACACATGGAGAAAATGTTCGAGAAGTATCCTCATGCATGTCATAGACCAAGCGGAGGAGAATGACTGTAAAGGAGAAAGGAACGGACTAGATTATTCATTTAAAGAGGCACTGGATTAGTCATGTTGCCAGGGTGCTGAGAATTCATTCTGGCCATGACTCAAGACACAGTATTTAACAATAGTAAACTTAGAAAGTGAGTTTAATGGAAATATGAACTACAGTATAAACCTATAATGGGTGAAGTAGTATTTTCTAAGATGATTTTCTCTTAGGAAATAATATGTAGTTTAAAGAACACATGACAGATTGTTCTGTAAAATTTCTCCGTTTTACACTGTGCAGGCAACACATATTTGGAAAGTATAAAACATAATGTCTGTCACTTAATCAGTGAGACAATAAAGCATCTGTCTACTAGTAAAAGGTCAGTGGTTCAAATCCACCAGCTGCTCTTTGGAAGACACATGGGACTACCTTCTATAAATAGTTACAATCTTGGAAACCCTACGGGAAGATCTTCTTGGTCCTAACAAATCACCAGGAGTTAATATTGACTAGATGACAGTGGGATTTTTGGGTTTGGGTCAGTTGATCAAATTGCGTCTCAGTGTGCTCGTGTAAAAAATTCAGTAGTAGCAAGTTCTACCGCAGCCTTTGACCAACCCTTATGCTAGAAACTGGGGCTCTCTGATATGAAATAAAGGGGGAAATAAGAATATTTAAAACTAATTTTTACAAACATAAGTATATGACTAATTCTTGGTATCCTGCTGGACTCTGTTTATAGCTAGAATCTGAGTTTCATTTTTTGAAATGACTTAGATTTTAAAGCTGTTATAGTTGGCTTGTCCTGACATGACCAATTACTGTTTCACTAGAACTTTACTTAACATCCTTAGTTGCTACATTTTTGTATATTAACCCTACACGACCTGTTCATTCTGGGTGTTAGCAGAGGTCACGTTAGGTTGTATGGGGTCACGTTGTTCTGTGAGTCTCTTTCACTTCTTCAGACTTCTGATTACAGCTTTTGTCATGGAGTACTGTCTTTCAGGCTTGAGCACAGTGTATGTCTCCCATTTGGCTATTAAGTTGATGTCAAAGTTAATTGGTTCTAATCATGTGGGATTGTGAGTACAAAGAAACTGCAGTAAGGGTTAGATGATTACATGAAAGTGTTACATCTGAAAACCCTGGATGAGATAGATTGACTCAAATGCTGGGGTAATGAGAATAGGTGTGTTGGAGACAATGAAATTGACTCAAGATAGAGCAGGGTTCAGAGCTGTTGTACATAGGATTGCTGTGAGTCCCAGGTGATTCAATGGCACATAACGATAATAACAACATACTAATTGAAAGTGAAAAATAGGAAAAGATACTGGTATCCTAAACAAAGAGAAACGATTTTAAGCATTTGCTTTATTTTGGTATATCTTCTATATTTATTAAAGTTTTCTTGAAATATCAGAGGATGAAATAGACAGCTTCCCTAGTATATTTCGACTTACCCTCTGTAGAGAAATAAATTACAGAGAAGGTGCAACAGTTTAATGTAGCAAATATGTTGGGACTATTGGGTAGATGTTTTATCAAAATGAGAACTCGTTTCAAATGCATGTGTGTTATAAGATTAATTACTGCAATATACCATGATGTTGGTTTGATTCATTTCTGAGAACCCCAGTATATGGACTATGCTGTATAGTTTAAGCATCTTACTTCTAAGGTAATAAGATAAATGTTTGAAACATATTAAAGGGTAATCTTTTTCTAAAATAACTTTCATTTTGGTTCTGCTCACTTTGACATTTATCTGATGCAATTTTATGCCCTTTTCTCATTTTTGTTAATGTTTTTATCTCTTCTTGGTGGTCACCATTATTAGTATTCCTTGTTAATATCGAGCCCTACTGCATTTACAATCCATCAGGCTAAGACTAGTAGCAGACTGGTTACTAAAAGGTGGACGTCAACAGGATCCCAAATGTTTGATCTGTACTACTCCATAATTTCCAACATCAGTTGTTCCTCCTCCATTCAGTTTCCCCACTCCTCTGTGCCCCTTGGGTTCTGTGGTTCACTGGATGGCCTCACAGAAACACAAACCCATCGGGGAAATGACTCAGATGACTGAGGGTGATGCAGGCCAGGGTTGCAGACTGGTGCGAGGTGGCCCAGGATCCTGTAGATTGTCAGCTGCAGAGTAGCTGGATGCTGTGTCCCAGGAAAGCAAGCGTCCTGACAGAGTGTGAGCACTGAGCTTCCATGAGGTGATGAGCTATGGAAAGGCTGCTAAGGTGGCATTTATATCCCACCCTAATTGCGTCTCTTTAATACTATAAATACATCATGACCAAATAAAAAGTTAATAATTTGGAAAGCTATTTTGAATGATAAACCTTTGACAACATACCCAGTAAATGCCTACCGTTAGCTACATTAAAATGTAATTCATAGAGCAATTCTGTGAAGATGGTACTATTATTTTCCTGTGCAGGAAATTGAGTGGGGGCAGGAAGGGGTGAAGGGATAGCTAAGATGGATTGGGGCCTTGAGGAGACAGGGAGACAAAAGTAATAGATCAGTAATAATTGATTATATAAAACACAATGTACAGGTAGGTTGTTAATAATGTTGTTGTTGTTAGGTGTTGTAGAGTTATAGAAGACTCATAGCAACCCTATAAATGAAAGACCCGGACACTTGTATAACTTTCATCCTTTCTCCAGGTTCATAGAGTTTCTGGAGGCAAGCTATTTTGGAAGTGGATGCCACTCCTGCTTCCAAGCTTGTTTTATTTGGGGAGCGCCACCACACACTGGTGTTAATCATAGGGTTGCACAATTTGATGGGTGGGTGGGGTGAAGGAAACGGGAAGGATCTTTTGTGAAAAACTGTGTTCAAACTTTGTAAATAAATCGGAATAAAATTTGAGAAAAGAAAAAACAAAACAAAACCCCACAATGTACAGAAATGACCATGTAAAACAAATTGTATAAAAATTAGATGATGATGATGTAAATAAGTAAATAATAATTTTTTTTTAAAAACTAAGTATATCCAAGGTTATGATCTAGTTAATGATGGAGAAGGACTCCTACTAAGGTTTCTTTGCCTGAAAATGTATACTCTTCTGCGAAAACCTTTACTTATTTCCATCAAGTCTATTATGGCTTCTAGTAAACCTCCGTCAGCTTTCTAAGTCTCCAAGTCTGTGTGGGAGGAGATTGCCCTTCTTCAACAGAGCTCCTGGGAGATTTGAACCATCAACCTCATGGTTAGAAACCTGACACATTACATGCTAACTAGGGCTACTTTCACCAACTCTGTCCCTATTGTTTCCTTTTTTTTTTTTTAACAACAATTGATAAATTAACACCAAGGCAGTATTTCGAGAAAAAAAATGTTTTTTATCATTGTCATTGAAAATTTTAATTAAAACTTATGACTGGTGTTTGAATATTATAAATATTATTCTGTATTTTTACTTCCATATTT